TCTTTCAAATTCTCACATCAGAGAGACAATCTGATGTTTATATACACGTGTATCATATTTATTTTACTAAGAGTATGGACTCAAGGTGAATGAATTTACTTAGAAAATCTCAGGTTTATTTCCTTATAGCTGCATAATACTATAACTACCAGACACGTAAGGATGGTTTGCCAGTAACTTTGCCAGAAAATTAAGGAAGGTTTCTGTCTATGTTCATGAGTAGATTGGTTTGAAGTTCTCATTTTTGGGTAGGCCTTTCTCTGGTTTCTATATCAGAGTAACACTTACTTTCAGGAATGAATTTGTGCATACTACTTTTCTCTAAATTTCTTTAAAGAGTTTGAGGTGTAATGGTATTAGATTTCCAAATTTTCTTGTAGAATTCAACAGTGAATCTGTTAGAGACGGCTTTTTATTGGCAAATTTTTAATCACATTTTCAATTTTGTTGACTGACATTTCATTATTTAGCATTTTTATATGCTCTTAATTCCACTTTGGTAATTCATAGGTATCTAAGAATCTGTCTATTTTCTATGGTGTTTTCCTCTTGTTAAAATATATATTCTCAAAGCAGGTATTGATGATCTTCTTGATTTCTGCAGTATCCTTTGTGATATCACTGTTTCAATCCTAATCACATAGATGTGTCTTTCTTTACTTTTTTGATGAGATTGGCTGAGGCTTTATCAATTTTATTCAATCTTTCAAAAGACCAACTCTTCAATTCATTGATTATTTGTGTTGTTTTCTTTGTTTCAATTGCATTAATTTCTACTCTGATCTTTCTTCCCCATGTGCGAGTTTTGAACTTGACATATTCTACTTCTTCTAGAAATTTGATATTTAGTATTAAATTTTTTATTTGAGCTCATTCTTTTTTTTGATCTTAGAATTCACTGTTATAAAATTTCCCTCTTAGGACTGTTTTCATTTGGTATCATAAGTTCCAGTCTGTTGTATTAGCATTATCATTTAATTGTAGATACTGTTTAATTTCTTATCTGATTTCATCTCTGACCCATTGTTTGTTATTTAATTTCTATGTTATTTAAAAGAAAGCCCACCAGATTCACAGTGTTATTTAATTTCTGTGCTTTTGTGATTTCTTTGGTTGTTGATTTCCACTTTCATTGCATTGTATCCTGATAATATGTGTGGAATAATTTTAATTTCTTTGCATTTAGTTAGGCATGTTCTGTATTCTATTTTTGAGCCACCCATGTGAAGCTGAGAATAATGTGTACTCTGATGTTGTGGAGTTGAACAGTGTGTAGGCATCTATTGTCTATCTGTTCACATGTTTGATTCAATTCTGGCATCTCTTTGTTGACTTTTTTAATGGTTGATCTATCTGTTTGTGACCTTGGGTATTAAGGTCTCTCACTACAATTAGGTTAGTGTTTACTTGACTTTTCATGCCCATTATTTGTTTTATCATGTAGGGTGCATCTTTATTTAGTGTGTATATTATTGTTATCTCTTCATTTTGAGATTTTCCTTAATAAGTATAATGTGACCTTCTCTGTCTCTTTTCATCATTCATAACTCAAAACTCACTTTTTCTGCAAATAGAGTAACTAACCCTCTTTATTTTCCAGGCTCCTGTCATGTGAAATATCATTTTCCATCTTTTGACTTTCAGTCTATTAATTTCTTTTTTAATTCACTGTGCTTCTTATATCTAGCATATTGTAGGATCTTGTTTCTTAATGCATTCTGCTCATCTGTTTCTTTTGTTTGGAGAATTCAGACCTTTTACCTAACTAATAACTAATATGTGTTAACATGTCACACTAACATGTGATTTATTCTCATCTTTTTATTTCCCTATTCTTGGTTCCCTGTTTTCCCCTTCAGCTTAATTGCTTGTGTTTCCTGGAGTATTCTTGCTATTGGTGTTTTAGGAATGGTAGTCTTCTTTATCTGTTTCTAAAATATGCATCAGAACATTATTAGTGCTGATTTGGTGATCATGAATTTTTTCAGTTGCTCTCTGTCATGCTATTTCTCCATCAATTTTGAAAGATAACTTTGCATGGTAAATAAATTTGGATTGGGAGTTGTTTTCTTTAAGGTCTTGCTCCAGCTTTTCTTGATTTAGGGTTTGTGTTGTGAGGTGTGCTGTGATTCTGATGGGTTTCCTTTGTAGCTCCTTTGTTTCATTTTTGTAACAGCTTTTAATATTTTGTCCTTGTGCTGAATTTCTGGAATCATGTTTATTATATTCCTTGCTGTAGGTGTATTCTGGTCATAACAATTAGAGTGCTATATGCCTCACTTATCTGTATGTCTAATACTTATTCCATGCTTGGAAAGTTTTCTGCCATTATTTCTTTGTTTGTGTGGACTCCTGGTTTTTCATTGACTCAGATTAAATTTGTATTGTTCTTCTCTGCATCATAATGCAACAGTTCGAATGCTTTTTTATGATACTTTTGCATTTTTAAGAGTTCTTGCTTTTCATGATTGCTAAATATAATCTTGTATTGTAAATCTAGTATTTTCTCTTCATCTTTCAATCAAATTACAGCAGAATTTTAAATTTCCTAAATGTCTGTTTGAATCTGTTTAATTGATTCCATTTTTTTCCTATATTGGATTTTCATGGTCTCCATCATTTTCCTATGCTCCTCTACTTTTTTATCTATGTATATTTTAGGTTTGTTGAGCAAGTCCGTCATTATCGTCATCATCTCCTTTTTTTTAAAACTTGGAGATGTTTTCTTCTCTTATTGTCTCTACAATTTCATTCATTTCTTTTCAGACTTCTGATGCTGTCATTACAGAGAATTCAAGTGAGTGGCTTTTGATTTTCTCTCTTTGTCTCTTGGATTTTTTTCTGGGTGGACTGGAGATATGGGGTGCTAGTTTGCTTCTGTGTATGGTCATTTTCTATGCATTTTGTTTTCTATGTTAATGTATGTTAGTTTCTTATGGGAGATAGCTTTATCACTATGGAGGCTTCCCTATGGAATGTCTGTTACTCAGAGATATCTGCCAGGTATAGGGGATTCTTGCTCTCTGTGTATGTCCTAAGATTCTACCTTCCTAATTTATTAAGGATGAAAAGTTGCTATCCATGCGGCTTAGTATCCAGTCTTTTGGTGCTGTAGTATGATGATTTTTATGACCCCACATATGCATAGTGTTGCCATACAAAGGAGAAAACTGATTATAGCAGGTATAGCATCCTAGCTGAAGTAGTACGATTAGAAATTACAATAGCATCAAGCACAGGGCAACATCAATGAACTCTAGGGTTTTTTTGTTTTGTTTTGTTTTGTTTTGTTTTTTTGTTTTGTTTTGTTTTGTTTTTGTGGGTCAAACTCACAACCTCACATTTGCCAAGCAGGCACTTATACTGTTTGAGCTAAAACCACAGCCCCATTCTGGTAAGTATTTCTTTGGTACCTTTAGCCATAAGAGTGAGATCTACAGTTATATACCAAAGTCCAACATTATGCAGGAATTTGTAGACAAGAGAGTTTCCATTTAGCCCAATGATTATATCCTCCCATTGTGAAATTTAAGAGTGATAGAGGACAAAACAGAAAGCTAAATTAAGTGAAATATGGTAGAATGAGGTTGTAGGATGCAGGATTATCACTCAAACTTTGGAAAACTTGAGGAGGCAGATCATAAAAAATGAAGGACAAAACAAAAGATTATTGAAGTGGACCAGAAAGGCTAGAGAGAATTTTCACTTACATATAAACATCATAAAATCAAGAGAGATTGTTAAGGAAATTAAAAAAAAAATAAATAGATAAGAACAAAAATAAATGCAAAGACCTAAAAACCCTAAACAAACAAACAAACAAAAACACTGTTTATCTCTGTCTCTCTCCCAGTTGCTGTGGTGCCCTAAGACAGAGATCCTGAGGCCACTCCCAGTTTGCATAGTTAGCTCCTCCTGTTAGCAACCTTCTCCATTCTGCTTCCCTAGTGCATCTCTGTTCTCTTGTGCTGCTTGTTCCTGAGTGGAGTGGGGTAGGGTGCTGTGGGCTCTCTCTCTGCTCTTGCCATCACTGTGGAAAGAGCCAGGACCACTTTGATCCCCTCTGCCATGAGGTGAGTCATAGTCTCACTGATTTCAGGCTGGGTGAGCTTGTATTACATTACTCACGGATCCTGGCCATCACCGCGGCTGCCACTGTGTGGCTGCTGCAGTCCCAAGCTTTGCTGACTCACTACTTCTTTGGTCATCTCAGAGGCAGACCAAAGCTGTGGTTGTTTTCAATCTCCTCTCCCAAGGGATGAGTGCCATGACTGTTTAAATCCCAGATGTCTGTGTCTTTCTCACTGGTCTCAGGGCAAGTCCTTAATATTGTTCTCATTAGGAGATTCCAATTAGGGCACGTGACAAAAAAAAGTACCCTGCAGCCTGTTGCAGGGTTGGAATCAGTGCCACAAAATTTGCTGCCGAACTGCCACGTCCTCTATGTGGAAAAAATCATGAAAGACAAGAGGTTTTGCATCCCGAATCTGTCCTATCTGGCTTGAGTTAGCCACACTTTTGCAGTCCATCTGTTTCTTGGAGGCTTCATAGAATCTTACTTGGCATACAGGCCTCAGCCTTTGCTGTTTTATATAAGGACCAATGTCTATGTTTTGTTTGATCTCCAGTTCTCTTAGTTCAGATTGATTTGGGCATCAAGATGCATATCTCTGCCTTTCCTACCATTACCTGTGTTTTAGTTGCTGTACCGTAAGTATTTCCTGTATGAATCTTCCTCTATTTAGCTGTATTGACTGCTATTATATGCCTTTATATGTATGGGATCTACTTATTGTGACAGATCAAGAAAATTACATATTAAAAATAATTCATGAAAACTATCATGAAACAAACTTCAAATGCCCAAAACATATTAATATGGTGACTTCATATTTACACCGTTACCACATTTTTCGAACCAAACTACTCCAAATTTTCTAGCATGTATTTTAAAAACTAACATTAATTTGGTGTCTAATGTATAACTATTTCTATTCCAGATGAACTCACAAATTCATCAGAAACCCAGTTGTCTTTAGAAGATCTCTTCAGGAAAGACTTTATACTTCATAATCCAGAAGCTCGATGGATCAATGGTATGTGCAGATGATTTTACATATTTATTTGATCTTACATATATTGTTTATGTATATAATGTTCAAAACATAACATCCATTGACATATTAAGTACAGATATAATTTTAATTTATTTTATTCTTGGATATACTTATATGCTCTCAATAGATATAGTATTTTTTCTAGACAACTGTGATGGATGTGTTCATTGATAATATTTCCAATCACCTTTTATTATAGCAACAAGGAAAATCTTTGGAAGAGTTATAAAACATACAGGACTCAACTGTTACTAAAAGAGGAGTAATAATATCTAGCTATTTCTTCAAGTAATTTATATTCCTGACAATGCTTTATGCACTAAGACACTATACTTCATTTTAAAATTTTATTTATTTATTTATACATAATCTAAATTACATATATTTTATAAAATTAATCAGAAATTAGAACTTGGCTCAAGTGAGAGAAAACTAGAAGTTCAGCTCAAATGAGAAAAAATTTATAAAATAGCATATTTATAAAACTCTTCTGAACATCAGGTTGATTCTTCTGGATTTGCCTTTGCCTTTTTAAATCAATTTCTGAAATTAAAAGATGAAAGTATAATGAAGTTACTATAGAGTTTATGTACTTTGATTTACTGTTATGAAAAGTAATAAAAATAGTTATAGTGTAAAATAATCATTAAAATAGTGTTAGTCAAAACAAGTCAGAAGTTTCCATTTTTTGAATATTCCAATTTGCCTGGTTGTATTAATCCTCATGGTTGGATAGTTTCTATACTTGTCTTTCCGTTATTTTGATGCAAAATCTTTGTTTCTTTTCAAGACTTAGAGTAGATCACTTGTAAAAGCTTTTTTTATATATCCAATAAAATGATCTCATTTATAATCCTTTGTTTTCCAATATTCTAATTAAATACTCTTGTTGCTGCAAATTAAAAATTTATAGAAGCTATAAAAATAGTTTATCTCATGATTATAAGGATCAAATCACACTTACCTGGGATTGATGTGGTTCCTAGAGATCAACAAGCATTTAAGATTTATGTTTTGAATAAATAAATGCTTGAAATCTATTGTTTTTTTCATTTGCTAAAGTTTCAGTTGAAGGCAATTGGAAGATGATTGCCTATCATAATGATAGTGTTAGAGATAGAGTAAACAAAATAGCAATTTTCTTAATCTGTTTTTATATTTTTCATTTTAATTTTCCATATTCTTGTAACAATTTTTGAACTGTCAATTGTGATTACTTCAGATAATAGCAGATGAACCCTCTGACTGAAGAAATCTAGCATAACTATTATTGCATTTGCCTTAGGAAACAAGTATCTTGCAGATCATTCTCCTAATGTGCAATTGTCATTATGTAAATCTTACATTATTGCCAGATGTTTTCTATGGAGGGAGATAGCAAATTGAGTATCTGCTAGAATTTTATAAAATATTAGTAGTGTTATAAATCATTAGATTTGAAATAGTGAATAATCTTGTTTTATTTTCATGGTTTTTTTTTTTTTAACAAATTATTGAACTGCTATAGTGTTGGGGTTTTGGACAAGTTATAAAAATTTGTATAGTAGGGCCGGGGATTTAGCTCATCAGCATAAGCACCTACCTTGCAAGTATGTGCTCCTGAGTTCGATCCCTGGTACAAAAACAAAACCAAATTTGTATAGTCATTGAATTTGGAAAGCAAGAAAAGAGTGGACCATCTTCACCTCTCAGGTTTCTTGGACTACTTAAGAATAGATTTACTCCTGTGTATAAGTTACACTCTGATACTGAATCTAAGGAATGGCAGACATTTCAGCAATGAATTTCATGATGAATTTAATCACATTTCAATATCTAGGACATTCCTCTTCATTTTATATTTTACAAGCTATCAAAGTAATGTATTCGGAATTAATCATTTTCTTTAATAATTTGCTTAACTGATACTGAAAACTTCATCCTAAGAAAGGATACAGGGGTTGTAATGCTTCTGCGTTGCTTCCCTAACATGCTAAAATGATATGTAAACTTCATAACATTTATGAAATAATATAGCATGAAAAAATCTGTGAAACAAAATGAAAGGAATCAAAATGTGAGGAAAAGACCTCTTTATAGATACCACTGAAAGAGTTGAGCATAGATTGTGTACTGAGAGTTTCTTTTGGAACAGTGAATAAATTTGTGCTCTTGTCTAATTCAGTCTGTCTTCTGGATGTCATTAGAAACTTAGCATAATTACATACTCCTCACGTAGGAAGGAAATATACTTAGAACCAGACGAATGGAATATGTACCCTTGTCCTCATTATCAATGGTTATATTGAAATGTAAAATGTTAGCATTTTCTCTATTTTTGAGAGATGATTCATCAGACTTTCCTAATATATAAATCCTTTCAAGGAGTTCAAGATAAGCATACTTGGACGCTCTATTTAATTCTTGAAGTCTTCATAGGAGTGTTTAATGCATGACTAATCAAGGAGGATGAGAGAGTCCAGATGACCCTGATAACCTCCATGCTGTAGTGAAGCATTTTGTCCATTATGCTAGTTCTCAAATAACTGAGAATGACACAGCAGCCTTGTGTGAGTGTTTGTGGTTGTGGTTAATTTGCCAACTGCTTTTTGTCAAATCTGTTCATATCCTTGAAGTCTCCATGTACACAGCATCTTCTTCCTAGTTAGATCAATTTTAAAACAAGAAATTCATCTCTTAAAAATGTATTCATTTCTCCACATACAGTGAAGGATCAATTAATCACCACGGGAAGACCTTCTGTTAGGTAGTTTGTAGGTTAACCTCTGTCATAGATGTTATAACGTATTTCATGTGAGAGCAAATAACACTGAAATTAACCCCAGGAAACTGATGCTTAACCAATATCCATCGAATAAGAAGTAGAATCTGCATTAATCATTACATTTACTCAACTTCTCATTGTTCCCCTCTGACATCTCACTTCAATATCCAAAACATACATCAAATACATTTCTAATAATTTTAATTTTATAGCTCTCTTACTGTTAATCCATTCTTGTTCTATATTAAAATGTCTTCATCTGCACAGGCATATCAATATATCAATAATTTATGCATCCACTAAAATAAAGTACATAAGCATATTTATTGACATATTCATGACCTATAAAAGTGAATAATAAAGAGTGAACAAAATAATGTTGGTGAGATATATCATATTGTCTATAGTGTATAACAGTGACTCTCCAGGCTGTTTTCTGTTTATCTATTCATTTCCCAATTTTTTTTCAAAAACATATTTAATGTGAATTTCTTTTGTAACTGATAAAGTCTCACGTGTCTCAAAAGCCTCCATCATGCCCCAGTAAAATACAAGTTTCTAAGGTCCAGCTAATAATTACAGCATTAAAATGCTTCTCAAAGACAATCAGGAAAATAAATATACTCCACATTCCTCCGTTTTTTGTTTTAAGACTCATAGAACCATGCCACTACCCTTATCTTATCTTCCTTCACATTTGGTTTCATTCACATTAACTTCTCTCTTTTTGTTAGTACATGTCTGCAGTGCATGCAGATTGAAGTCATCATGGGTAGTGGGTACATGGGCATAATACAGGTTGTTTCTTTTTTTCTAGTTCATTATGAGAAGATTAGATCAAAAAATGTAGTACCTATTCCAAATGGAATTATAATTTGCTATAAAGAAAGACAAATTTGAGACACTGTAGGAAAGGGATACAGCTGGAAAATATAATTTTGAGTGACATAAATCAGACACACAAACTGCAAACTACAAACAAAAAGCACCATAAAGGACGGATAGCAGGAGACAGGAAATAGATCTCTTGCAAGTGGAAAGGGGTCCGGGAGATGGAGGGTGAAGACGAGGGGACGGAAAAATAAAAATAATTAGAGCAAGGATATGCTATGGGCAGAAATACATTTCTCAGTAAGTGTAAACATTTTATGCCAAAAAAAGAGACAATTATCATAACGAATTGAAGTGAAGAAACAATGTGGAGAACAGGGAGAGAGGAAAGAAAGAAACATTTTAAAAACTTGCCTCCCATTCCTTTTTTGACTCTCTTGCCTCTACCTGGAATCCCTTCCCAAACCTGAAAGACAAATTTTATCCCACTAGAAATTTAACTCCTTGAAGTAATGACAGTGACTATCCTTTTTCCTGCCAGCTCTCAGCAACATTATCTTCCCCAAACTCTAGGGTAAGCCCATAGTGTAGAAATTTCTGTGTTGGGTAAAATTAAAATGTATCTAATCTCCTCTAATGCAGTGTTTCTAAAACTATTGTGAAATGACAATATTTTAAGCGTTAATTCACTTGATTTTATTTCCATTTTATCATAAAAATCTTGAAAGCACAATAAAAGTAAACTTCTTGAAAAATAAAATCATAATCCACATAAAACTACAAATCTTCTGTTAATGTTTTCAAAAGACCTAAAAGTGAAATTTCAACAAAATATTAGTCTAAGCATAATATTCACATAGAGGAAAGGAAATTGAGAGAAATAACAATTCTTCATATTAAAAACCTATGTGATGATTTTGAACAAAACCTGAAAAATCACTATTAAAATTTTTATGTAATAAATAGGCTATTTCTTTTTAATGAGTGTAGGTAGGTTAGATGGGTAGCCGTACTCACAGAGGATAATGATGTATCTGGCCTACTTTTGTTTTTTATTTTTATAACACTCATAATGGAAAAGAAACCAGATTCCCAAGTGAGAATTGTGTTAATGGAAGTTGAACTTTTAAAACAAGTAAATTGAGCCATCTCAGGCTAATTTATTTTGAGGTTTTAAGGATCAAGTAATATTTAATTTTAAATTTTATCTTGAACTCTTTCTCAGCATCAGTTTCAAACTGTATCCTATAGAGTCTATATGATTTAAATGCTGCATTGACCAAAAGTATATTTTAGGTTTTAAATCAATCTGGATTGCAGTGGACAAATATGTAACCAAGTAATAAAAGTTTGTTGTATATCATCAATGAGTTGCTTGCTTACT